GGCGTGGGGCGCCGCCGCCCGACCCCCTGCGCCGACCTGGTCAGCGTCCCGAGACCACTGGGCAGGTCCGTGACCCTTTCGATTTCTGTTCCCGAGTCTTGTTTTGTTCGTTGTGAAAAGGACTGGAGGGACGAGCCGAGTGCCCTGGGAAGCAAGGCCTGCTCTTTGCGGAGCAGAAAAGCCTTGTGAGACCAGGAATAAATTCCCGCGGAAAGGATATAGGTGGTGTTAAGTTTTTCCCAGGATGCCAGCTGTTTGCGTGGGGTCTAAAACTAAGCTGTCAAAGCCAGGTCACCTCTAGAGCTTGCTGTGCGCCTGGAGTGGGGTGGGACGCTCCTGTCTCAAGTGGGGCTTTTTTACTTGGTGGGAGCTCTTCCTCGCGGGTCACTCAAAGCAATTAATGGCCCCAAGTATTGTCTGGTGAGTCCTGTATTCATCAAAAAATTTGAAGGAAGTAAGATGGATTTTTGTCAATATCTGCGTATGTCCTCTCATGAAACACGATTTTTAAGATGTCATACATAATTTCATCTGAAGCAAAATGCCTGTGCATAACTGTTGACTTGGCAGCTGTCTCGATGGGGTGGAAGATGATGAATGCGTTTTCATAAGTACATATTGGGGCCTGTTAACTCGTGGTAGATGTTGAACTCTTCTAGGCCACAGGTATATTCAGATTTGTTTGCAACGTCAGGAATATAACGGCCAGTTGGAACTAAAGAGGCCTGAGATAAGGAAACAGTTGTGTTACTACGTTGCCGTTGACAAGCTGCCTTATCTTGGGATAGGTGGCTACCTAATGTAGATTTGATTTTCCTTATTTGCAAAAGAAGGGTAAGTAGTAGATCACCATTCTTGTGGTTCTAAGATTTAGAGACTTCTTAAAATGAGATTTAAGTGTTTTGAAAGATTCTGCATAAAAGCACTCACAAATATGTCTTTATAAAAATAGGTTGGAAAAACCATTTTTATTGGCTATATCCAGGATAATTTTGTGAGCTTTATTTGAACACAGGCATGTAGAGAAGGCATTTCAATCCACTTAAGAAATTATGCTTTTGGGGGTTGGAAAGATGGCTCAGCGGTTAAGAGCACTGACCACTCTTTCAGCTGATCCCAGTTCAATTCACAGCAACCACACGTCGGCTCACAACTGTCTATAACCCCAGTTCTAGGGGACCCAACACTGTCACACAGACAGTTCAGCCATGTTTTGCATACATATATGTCCTGATGGCCACAAAACATTAAGAAATGAAAAAATTTCAGCCCCCACCCCAAAGGGATTCCTCAAATTCAGTTTGGTTGCCTCTTCCCCCAAGGCAAACTGCCATTCTGCCTTCTATCACAACCTGTGAATTTTGTCTCAAGTGACCTTTTAGAATGTGAAAGGGGAAATACTAATAACTGAAGATAGCAAGTATGTGAATTTGGAGTTGTGGGCTTTTTTGTTTTTGTAATGGTGTAAGCCTTTTCTGGTTTTGACGATGTCTTAATATTCTGACCTTTGATCTTTGTGGTCATAAGGACATTTTTAGCTGACTAGTATTTGGTGTGTTTGGATCATGGTTTCTGGGAGTCTTTAAGTTCACAGTTGAAGTTACATTATTATATCCACTGCCCAGTTGGGGATATAGATATATTTATAGAGAAGAGGTTTGAAGGAAGAATCATGAATTTCTCCAAGAAGTTAGAGTTAAAGGTATCAATCAGTAGGTGAGTTAATTCCTTAAAGCATAGAATTTGCAAAGAAAATTGATGAAAATTGATTTTTTAAAGTTCAGTGAATTAATAATATGGGTATAAAGCTTTAGCAACTTTTAAATAACAGCAGTTAACTTGATTTATGCATTTATGGTTTTATCAAATCATTAAAAGTCCAACAGTAAAAGTAAGAACAAAATATAAATTAAAATGTCAGTGCATTTTTTAAAGTCCCTTTGATTAAAGCCACTTTTTTGTATTAGAACCCTACCCAAAAGGTTGAGTTTTAAATATTCACTGGAAGTAAGTGTGCTGCAATAATTTGCCTGTATCTCCCAAGTATCTTTTACTGTATCTTTGTGCTCTTTGTTTCTACTGGAGTTAGGTTCTAAGTGAATGCTCTTGTTAGCTTCATGTAAAGGCCAATGCCAGGTCCCTTCCACCCAAGACATCTGTGAGATAGAAAGTGGGAGTGGGGCTGGGTAGTGGTGGCCCATGTTAATCTCAGCACTGGGGAGGCAGAGGCAGGTGGGTGTCTTGAGTTCAAGACAGCCTGGTCTACAGAGTGACAGTACAGCCAGAGCTGCAACACGGAAAAACCCTGTCTCGAAGGAAAAAAAAAAAAAAAGTGGGAGTAGTTTACTGCCCATGTTAGAGATATATGTGGAATACTCCACAAAGTTCAGTGTGTGTGTGTATGAGAGTGAGGGAAAGGGAGAGGTTCTCTGAATAATTCTCTGTTTAATTTGAATCTGGTCATTTCATTAAAAGTTTACAGCCTCATGAACTAATAGAGTACATGATGATTTAGCCATCATTGATGAACTATTTTTCTGAGGCTTTTTTTTTTTTAATTCTTGGCTTTTCTTTGTAAAAACTGCTGAATCTTTGGGATGAAATTGAAGGCATATATAAGAAACAGAAAATACAAAAGGGGTTTCTTTAATATTTGTTTTTTTTTGGGAACCATGGTTTTTCCCTTTAAAAATGCATTACCATGTATGTGCTCACAAGTACACAGAGATTTTAAATAAATAAATGAAAAAAATATGCTTTGCCATCAGGGCATGGTAACATACTCCCACAGTCCCATTATTTGGGGAACAGAAGGCTTAAAAATTCAAAGTCATCCTTTGGTACTCAGTGAGTTTTAGGCCATCATGGACTACATGAAATCCTGTCTCAAAACACCAAACCCAAACCATACTGTACTAAACCAAACAACCACCGAAGTGCAAAAATCTTTGCCTGCCCACATTTGTAGGGTGGTCTTTGCTTTCATAGTGATAACTAGACTGGACTTGGTGTTAGAAATGTGGTGTCATTTGACTTCAATACTGTAGAAAAGCGGGATGAACCAAATGCCATTGACCTTTTATTGTGGCCTTATGTTATATTCACATGAAGTGACAAGTACAAAATATTACTCATAAAGGTATTTCTGAATGCTAAATATTGTTTAAGTAAATGTTTCTATTTTAAAAATTTAAACACTTTATTTTATGCCGTTATTTAGCTGATAACATTTTACAACAATTTCAGTAAAATTTAAAAAAGGTAAATGGTACAGATTTGCTATGGCAGAGAATTTTCTTTCAGTGAGTACCATTTTTATCCAACTTGGGCATTTTTGTATTTACAAACAGCTTTTCTATGTATGTAGTTGCTAAGTCAATTGCAAGTGTCTGGGGGTTTTGGTTACCCAGGAGGCTTTGAGCCATTAGACTTTTGGGAGTGAGGTTTTGTTAGGCTGCTACCATTCTTCAAGTGATACTAACCCCACTGGAAAATGGTTTAAAAATAGAAAAGATTTGGTCAGGTTGCTGAAAATTCATGTTTAAAGTTTTCAAAAAAGTTATTAAAGAAAAATGTAGATTTTACTACAAAAGTTTCCTGCCAGGTGGTAGTGGCACACATCTTTAATCCCAGCACTTGGGAAGCAGAGGCAGGCTGATCTCTGTGAGTTCCAGGACAGCCTGGTCTACAGAGTAGTGAGTTTCAGGACAGCCAAGCCTACAGAAACTCTGTCTTGAAAAAACAAACAAACAAAAAGGAGGAGGAGGACAACAATAATAGCAAAGGCCTTTAATTAATTAATTAATTAATTAATTTTTGGTTTTTTGAGACAGGATTTCTCTATTAGCTTTGGAGCCTATCCTGGCCCTCATTCTGTGTGTAGGCCTTTCTATGTAGGTTCTGTGTATGGTGGTGAAGAGGAATAATAAAACAGGGTCTCTAACCTTGAGCTCACAGCTTAACAGAGACAGGAGACTTTCAACAAATAGAATTGTATAAGAATAGCATATGAATGCATGGTGTTGGCACAGCCAGAGCTGTTACACAGAGAACCTATATCTCAAAAACAAAACAAAACAAAATTTCTTTTCATAAAGGTTTTTGTTTGTTTCTTTTTGTATGATTGTGAATGACATGGTGCATTTTGGAGGTCAGATGACTATTTTTAAGTTTGTTCATTTGTTCTATTTTGGGCTTTTTGTTTGTTTTTAAATGTATTTATTTGATTTTATACGAGTGAATGTTTTGCTTGCATATAGGTATGTATCCTGATTGCCTGGTGCCTGGAGAGAACAGAAAAGGGGGTATCAGCTTCCCTGGAACTGCAGTTACAGATGGTTGTGAGACACTGTGTCAGTTCTGGGAACTGAACCCCTGTCCTCTGTCAAGAATAGCAAAATAGCAATTACTTTTAATGGCTGAGCCATCTCATCTCCTCCAGTCCTTTCTGCCTTCTTTTTGAGGAAGGGGCAACAGAGTCTCTTGTTATTTCTACTGCTATACTTCGTATTGATTTTCTTGTTTCTACCTATCTCACTACAGGAATGACAGGATTACAGATTACCCTCCCCCCTTTTAAGAGTTTTCAAAATAATTTTTTTTTTTTTTAAAGATAGGGTTTCTCTCTGTAACAGTTCTGGCTGTCCTGGAACTTGCTTTGTAGACCAGGCTGACCTCAAACTCACAGAGATCCACCTGCCTTTGCCTCCCAACTTTGGGACTAAAGGTGTGTGCCACCACTGCCTGGTTTAAAATAATTTTTTTTTTCAAGACAGGATTTCTCTGTGTAACAGTCCTGGCTGTCCTGGAACTTTGTAGACCAGACTGGCCTTGAACTCACAGAAATCCATCTGCCTCTGTCTCCCAAGTGCTGGGATTAAAGGTGTGCGCCACCACTGCCTGGCCTAAAATAATTTTTTTAAATATTTATTTTATCATGTGTTTTCCCTGTGTGTATGTCCATGCGTGGCATGTGTGCCAGGTACCTTTGGGGGTCAGAAATGGGTTATATCCCTCAAGACTCGAGTTATAGACAGTTGTGTGCTGCCATGTGGGTGCTGGGAAT